CTCCAGGCGCCGGGGCAGGACGAGCGCGGGGGGCTGCTGGGTTTGAAGCCGTCCTCTTTAGGCTGTGCCGTGAAAGTTCTCCCCCGCCGTGGGCCGACCCTGCTGATGGCCGGTTCTCTGCCCTCTCCTCTCCCAGGTGCTGATCATCGGTGGTGGCGACGGGGGAGTGCTGCGAGAGGTGGTGAAACACCCGACCGTGGAGTCTGTGGTGCAGTGCGAAATCGATGAGGTGCGTTGGGCTCCCAGCTACGTGGAGGTGCCTCGGGGCTTCGGTCCGATGGGCAGGCTGCCCGACAAAAAGCAGTCCTACTTCACAGCATCCACAGGAGCTGCTGCTTCACCTGCTGTCCCTTGTCAGCAGCGAGTGCGTTTGCTGCTGGTTCTGCTGGCGTGACACTGACAGCGCCACCTCTTTGCCTTCCCAGTCATCTACGTGGCAGCTGGCTGCCTCTTTCATGGGATTTCTTTCGCACACGTACGGTAGAGGCCCTTCCAGGCCAGCGTGGGCCAAGCATGGGATCTGGAGAAGGAGAGCCCTGGCCCTGTGAAGGTGCTGCTTTTCCCTCTCCCCCAAGGCAGAGCAGAGCGCTGCCCCTGCCAGACCAGGACGGTCGCTTTGTTAAGCGGTCTCCCGTGACTGAAAGCTAAGAAATAAGTGAGGAGTGTTTCTTCCCTGTGATGGATGGGCTGGTTCTCCTCCTCTCAGTCAGTTCGTTCTGATGTTTTACTTTCTTAGAAAGTTTTGCTGTTTCCTCAAAGCGAGGAGCTATATTAGGAGTGGGAAACGCTGCTATATAAGACTGCGTACTCTGAGTGCCAAGCTCAGTAGGCACATGTGCCTGGTTTTGAACAAGCGCTGCCTGACACCAGCATATTTTTTTGTCTTTGCCAGCTTTGAGAAGCTGGTAGCGTTCAGTACAATTGCTGGGCCTCCGGCAGTGGCTGTCTTAACCATTTTAGCGAGAAAACTGTATCTTACGGGAGGATTAATATAATGACTATAGAGCAGAGGTGGGGATATTTCTCATCTTGTATCCAGAAACCTGCTGTCATGGTTTTATTTAGGAAGAAAGGAAAAAAAAATGTCTTTAGCTGAAAACACCTCTGCAAGTGATGTCCGCAGGGAAAAGGAGCACAGAGCAGTCAGATCTGTAATTGTATTCTCTTAGTTCCTCAGGGAGCTTTTGAAGCTCCAAGTTCTTGTTGAGTTTGGCAAGGGCAGACCAACAGTGTCACTGAACCCTGAGGCCGTAGGAAAGGGCCGAGTGTAGCTTGTTGGCTGAAGATGCTGACAGCTCTTGAGGATCTAGCTAGTAAGTTGGATTTGAGCTGAAGGCATGGAAGGAAATGACTCATTTTGCTGTTCTTTCAGCTGCAGCTGCACAGTAGCCTGAGAAGTGGCTCCTTGTAGCCCCTGCTGACCCACTTGTGCTCTCTGTGTTGCAGGATGTGATCCAGGTATCTAAGAAATATCTCCCAGGGATGGCAGTGGGGTATTCCAGTGCCAAGCTGACCTTGCATGTGGGAGATGGTTTTGAGTTCATGAAACAAAATCAAGAAGCCTTTGATGTGATTATCACGGACTCGTCTGACCCCATGGGTAAGAATTCTGGCCATAAAAGGGCACTGCTTTCCACACTCCTCCTCCTTTTCTCTTCTGCCTACCTCTTGGAACTAATTCCAGCCTGCCCAGCCTCCTTTCAATTGAAAAGACTGTCACTGACTTGGTTCTTTTGGTAGAGAAAGGGAAGGATGAAGCCCAGAAAATTGTATTAGCAAGGCTTCGAGCCAGCTGTCACGTTTCTCTCCTCAAAATTCAACTCCAGCAGCTATTGCTTCTGGCAGAGAGTTGATCCTTGAGTCCAGCAATCTCATGGGGGATACAGCACCATGCTGGCAAAGACAGCTTTGCACATGTGCCTGCTAATGAAGCAGCGGCTCACGTGCTGTTGGTGTAGCTGCCTGGCCTAAAGATGGCTGTAGTGAGGTTGCTGTATTTCTGAAGGGGAAAACCGAGGTAGAGAGGGATCAAATGTACTTACGGTGCCTCATCTTAGGGACCTAACAACAAGTGCCTGAGTCACCTTCACTCTTGCTGTAGTCAGCATGGAGAAAGGCATCTCTAAAAGCCAGTTTGGAGCAGGAGTTCAGTTTAAAAAATGCTCACTGAAGCAAGAGGCAGCCGCTAGGACTTTCAGCACAGCTAAAACCCTGATGGTTTTGCTGTGCAGAGTGCAGGCTGGGGTTCACCCGGGGTCAAAATTTTTTGCTTCAAGATTATCTCCAACACTTGTGATCACTGAAAAGCCATTTGAAATGTCTCTTTTCCAGTGCAGTCCCTGTGCAGCCTGGGCATTCAGGAAGACTCTCAGAAGCCTACCGTCTTAGTCTCTCTCTAGACATATCTCTTTGTTCACTTTTCTCCCAGGTCCTGCAGAAAGCTTATTCAAAGAATCTTACTACCAGCTGATGAAGACAGCCCTGCGAGAAGATGGGATTCTTTGCTGCCAAGGTGAGGATGCTGTTTCTGGGCAGAGGTTGATGCCAGATCATTGCATGCAAAGTGTGAGGCACAAAGGAGACTCTTCCTGGGGAGACATGACGCAAGGAGTGAAATCCATTTCAGCTCCCAGGTACAGGAGTGGTTTTGATCAGTATACGTCAACTCGTTAACTGCTGGACTGGGCTTAGTAAAACTGGTATAAGGGTCTTATCTTGCCTTTGAAACCACATGAGCTGAGCGGCGTAGAGCAGGTTTGGACTTGGAACCGCTGTTAACCTGGCACAGGCCTGTGCAGAGAAGAGGGGCAGCTCTCACCTTGCAATCTGTCTTCCTTTCTCCCTGTAGGTGAGTGCCAGTGGCTGCACCTGGATCTCATTAAGGAGATGCGTCAGTTCTGCAAGTCTCTGTTCCCTGTTGTGGAATACGCCTATTGCACCATCCCTACATATCCCAGCGGGCAGATTGGCTTCATGCTCTGCAGCAAGAACCCGGTGAGTTTCAGGCACCTGAAGTGCCCCTTTCCACTCCCTGAAAGTACCCGCAGAGCCTGCCTGAGGCTGTCTCTTACAGAGCTTGAGCTGTGGCACTGAGCTCTCCCAGCCGTGGGGCCTCTAGACTCATGCTTGGGCCCAGGCTCTGCCAGCCCAGAGCTGCAAGGCAGCTTGCTCAGCACTGAAGTGCAGAATTGACCAGTAAAATAACAAGTTGCCTTAGAAAAGGACATGGTTTTCTCTCTAGTACCACAAACTTGGAAGGGAGGAAGCCGCTATCAATTTCCAGAGCCTTTTACAGCTTTGGTGTATTGATGCTGGCTGTTACAAAGTGGGCACCTGCTTGATAAGAATCAGCCCGTGACTGGTAATCTGCTCGTACAGAGGCCTCCAAGTGGGAGTCAGTGTTAGGATGTGGGCTGGTAACTCTGGGAAGAGAGCAGACCTCAGTGGTCGGACACAATCTGTTGCATTACAGCAAGCCTGTAATGCAACTGTCACATTGGTTTAGGGAGCCAGCAGCTCTGTAGTATTTGATCTGTGTGGGGTGCTGGCAGCGTGCACTGTGCCTGACAATACAGACATGGATTCTGCTCTGAAGAGCAAAAGCCTTGCTGCTTAGATGCTCAGGCACAATCTGACAGCTTCGTCTGGCTCACATGCAGTCTGACCTCATACACTGACATCTGTGAATAAGGGCTAGTCACACGAGGTACGGAGCGTAAACTCCAGCCTTTGCGACTGGAGCTGTGCAGAACCCTTGACCTCATACTGGAACAGAAAGTCATCTGTTTTCCTGTGAGTCCTCTTGGTTCTCTGCCGTGAATCAGGATGCCTGTCACACAGCCTTTTGCTCGTTACCCAAACGCTACAGAGCTACCTGCCTTCTTTTTTGCAGAACACAAATTTCCGGGAGCCTGTGCAGCAGCTCTCACAGCAACAAGTAGAGGAGAGGAGTCTGAAATACTACAACTCTGACATTCATCGGGCAGCTTTCATTCTGCCAGAGTTTGCACGGAAGGTAAGCAAGGCTGCGCTGCTGTTGCTCCATCAAGGACAAGGTATGACTTTTTCTTCGGCAGGAGTGGGAGTGTACAGGGCTGAGGATTTCCTGCAGCCCTAAAGGCTTCTGTGGGCAAGCTGGAGCAGGACAGCATTTTGTATGACATAGCAGAGTATGAGTCAGTCTGGGAAGACTGGAGTTCAGTTTGGAACTGTTCTTTGAGTTGATGTCCCATGCCTTGATGGCAGATCACTCCTCCTTCACCTAACAAAACTAAGTCCAAGAGCCTGCAGAACTGGTGTTTCCCATTGGAAAGCTCCAGAAATCTTAGATAAAAAGCGGTTGTGGTTTCTAGCACGAACCAGAGGGCAAAGAAGGGATGCTCTAGCATAGTTCAGTTGGCCTTCTTGAAGGATAGTCTGTATTTCTGCATAATTCCGTCATCTCCTAACTGGGTTGCAACTGCAGGTTCCAGAAGAAACCTCCTTAGAGTGTCCTGGGGACGAAGGCAAATGCCGTGGTTGTGTTTCAGAGCCATATGTCTGTTGAGGACTGGTAGAGCTACAGCAGGTCCATCCTGACACGTTTCTGTCTTTGGCTATCTATCTCCAGGCCCTGAGCGATGTGTGAGACTGAGAAGCTGCTTCCTTCCTTCAAGTTGGACCCTGAGATCATCGGTGATGTGGTTGGGACCTTCCCAGCAGACTGCAGATTTGCTCTTCTCTGTGTGGGATTGTTTAACCCTTTGCCAGCCAACATTCCCTTTGATGATGTGTTAAAGATGATGGGGCATAAGCCAGATAAGACTATTGAAAAGGTCCAGTGACTTATTGCGCGAGGTCAAAACTGTTCTTTCCAGTGCTGGAAATGTAAGATGTCTTTTTCCTTTCTCTCCTCCCTGCACCCCTTCTAAATTCTCCCCTCCCTGTGCCCCCCCCATCCCACCTCCACCCCCTGCAACTGACATGGTGTATTTATAACTGACACGTATTTCTGTCTGCTGATCTTCTGAAACCTGGGAAGAGTCCAGAAGGGTCACTGACTCAGCCTTAAGCACAGAGAGCGAGAGC